TTTTTTTTTTTTCAGGGCCTTCACCGATTAGGGAAGACTGAAGTCCCAATATACGATGGCTCGTGGACCGAATGGGGAGCAAATCCCGATACTCCTGTTGCCTCTTCTCAAGAGTGAAAACGTTATTAGAGATTTGGCTTTGCCCGGTAAACCATCAGTCATCAACGATGATGATGATGATGATGGAGAATGTAAGAGAACCGAACGCACGAGTGACATGTTTGTGAATGTCGATTTTTTATTTTTAGTTTTATCTTTTTTGTTTTTCGCTGCAGTTGATTTATTTCGATAAGCTGAACATGCTCATGTGCTCGTCAGCGTAATGTTTATATTTGGTTGTTGATGTTTTGGCATTCGGTCTTTCGGCTTTCACAGCTGTTGAGTATGAGTGAAAGAGCCATCTCATAAGGTGCGGATTTTGGGTGAAATCTCTTTGTATATTCATTAGTTAGTTTTCGTGCTTCTCGGATCTCTCTCTTGATGTGAGATGAATTCGATTGAGAAAGTGAAAACGATCGGCACCATAAACAGTCCCAATCTACGGCTGCGGTTTTCATTTGCCCTTATCAAAACATAGGCAGATGAATAGCAAATTATTACCAAAGAAGACGAAAATGGCTGTTGACGGTAAAGAAGACAACAAATGTCTGTTAACAAAAATATCATTTACAATCGTCATTTTTCTACTTTTACATTATATTAGTTTATACTTACCTTCACATCTCATCAATTTTGATCATTATATTTTAGCTCATATTCATTCACAAATTCAAATCAAATTAAAAATTTTACTCGTTTTATCGAATATATCAAATTAAATAACTTTCAATCGCACCTGAACACCAAAAGACTATTTGTTGGTTCATTCTGAAAAGCTTATATCAAAGATTATTTGCGAAGTGTGTTACACATTTCAATTTCCACATAACCAGTAGTACTATGTGCAATGTTCTATTTAAAATAGAATTATCTCATGACAACAAAGATCGCGTGGCCTAATGGATAAGGCGCTCGCCTCCGGAGCGGGAGATTGTGGGTTCGAGTCCCATCGCGATCGTTAGAAACATTCCTTTTTATAATCCCATTTTATATCTCTTTTTTGTGTTGTTCCTTTTTATTGCTGCAACTTTCTCGGTTAAATTCAGGTTCTCAATATGAAATGCCCGTTCAGACGTCCGGTTGGTCTCGACTGAGACCAACCGACGTTCCTTTGGGATGATAATTTTCCCGATCCTTTCTTTTACTTTCATTTATTGAAACAGATTTGGCCGTGTTATTCGCCCTTTGTAAGAATTTATTGGATTTATTTTAATTTTTGTTAGTTTTGTTATATCGACTTTGAGAACTAATTCGATTTTATTGTAATTGTTTTGTTGATATTATATAATCGATCTATCTACAGTCCATAGCTATATACACAGATAAATAGCATCAAAGGCATTCCTGTAGTCACTCACACAAGAAACAACTCGAGCAGAAAAAGAGTACAATTTAGAGGCTCACCACATAAAACATCGATAAAAGTATTATAACCAAACTGGCGAAATTCGATTCTTCAATATCAGTATATCCAAAATGGCGAAATTTGATTATTCAGTATCAGTACCACTGGAACGCGTCTCAAAATCACGATACAGATTATTATCAAAAATTTGATCTACCGATATGGAAGATTAGTCTTGTTACACAAACTGAACAAAAAGGGAGAAATGGAACTGACTTTTTGCTCAAGCTTCATCAAGAGCAAGAACACCAGGAAGTGTTTTGCCCTCGAGAAGTTCCAGGCTGGCACCTCCTCCAGTCGAGATATGGCTCATCTTGTCCGCAAGCCCAACCTTCTCGACAGCAGCAACAGAGTCCCCTCCTCCAATGATAGTTGTCACACCCTTGCCACCGAGCTCTGCCAATTTCTTGGCTATTGCCTGAAATCGGGCAATTACACCAAACCTTAATGCTGAAACTACAAACTTATCAAATGTCAAGGAATTGTTCGTAAAAAGGTTTAAGTCTTTGATGCTCACACTTTGATATCAAAATCGGTTTTATTCGAAGTGATTGCAGCATCTCAAATGGGGCAACTGTAATTTCATGAATTACTTTTTCCGAGTGGACTTAGAGCATGTTTGTTTAGAAAATAATTCATTCACATTCAATTTACTATCCAAATTCAACTCAACTTTATCCCAACCTCATTATTCAATATTATCAATTTAATTAAATAATATAAACCAACCATTCTTACACATCACATCAACTTTAATTCACTATTCACCCACTCACATAATTTTAACTAACAATCATTTCACATCATTTATCTACTACTTTTACACAAATCACTTTAATTAATTTATTTTACATATTATTTTAATGTAACTCCAAACCCCACTAACAACTAAGCATACCAACTTTTTCAAAATTAACCACGGTTAACAAAAAAAATCATTTTGAACAGATATATTTAACAAACACGCCCTTAGTATTTGATTTTGAAGTACCTCTGTTCCCGCTGCAAACTTATCAAACTCAAACACACCCATGGGTCCATTCCAGATTATGGTCTTGGTAGTATCCAAAGCTTCGCCAAATGATTTGATACTGTCGGGACCAATATCCAAGCCCATCCAGCCATCAGGAATCGCAGATGCTTGAACAATCTAGGGAAAGAAAAAAAAAAAGAAAGAAAGAATTCAGCGCTTTCCTCCTCGGTGCAAAAACAGAACCATTCTACCAGACACCAGATATGGTTCCATAGCAGCTTTAACAATCAACTATAGAAAAAAATTGAAAAGGAATTCAGAATAACACGGCAGTCAAATCAAAAGTTGCACACCTTGCTATTTGCATCAGCTGCAAACTTGTCAGCTATAACAACATCAGAAGGCAGCAGAAGATTCACGCCCTTAGCTTTCGCTTTCTCCATAAGTGAGTTCGCCAGGTCAAGTTTATCCTCCTCCACAAGTGAGGACCCCACAGAATGCCCCTGGGCTTTGTAGAATGTGAAGATCATCCCTCCACCAAGTAAGAGAAGGTCAACTTTCTCCAACAGAGACTCGATAACACCGATTTTGCTGGACACTTTTGAGCCGCCAACAATTGCAGCAAATGGTTTTTTGGGATTCGACACAGCGCCAACTAAATAATCAAGCTCCTAAGAATATAGTAAAGAATTCAAAGCTTAGAAAGACAAATGAACGCCATAAAAAATGAGTACAAAGTGCAAATGGTACAGAATGAAAGGCATCGTTCTACTCTCTCCATCCCAACAAAAAATAATTGTTCACCATTCTTACTGTTTTTGACATGGTAAAAGTTACGAGCATTCCCTAACATCACCTTTATGTTAATAATAATGACATATTTACGTGAATAAATTTTCAGCTCTACTAAATAAAGAAAGAGGCTATTCAAGGGGCAAATGGAAATAGTAAACAATCCTATATCAATGTGGGACCGGTGGAGAATTAAGTAAAGAAAGATAACAGTGATAACCCAAGGAGTAAAAAACACCCACAAACCTTCTGCATAAGGAACCCAGCGACAGAAGGCTTCAAGTACTTGGCAACACCCTCAGTCGAGGCATGAGCTCTATGTGCAGTTCCAAATGCATCATTAACATATAAGTCCGCGAGGGATGCAAGCTTTTTGGCAAATTCGGGATCATTCTTCTCCTCTTCTTTGTAAAACCTGACATTTTCCAAGAGAAGAACACCGCCATCTGATAAGCCAGCCACCAGCTTCTCAACCTCTTCCCCAATACAATCATTGGCCATTTTGACCTGAAAAGCATATCGTGGGAGTATTATTGGCGAAACCAATTTGCAAGAGCATTCATTTTTAGATTTTCGTATTATTAACTACCTCAACTCCGAGAAGCTCAGAAAGCCTAGGAACCAGAGGCTTCAAACTGTACTTTGGTGTGACTCCTTTGGGACGCCCCTAAAAGTAACCCACGGTAAAGGTATCACATCACGTACATAGTTCATTACAACTTACAAGCAGTATATTTAAACAACAACCGTAACTTACTGATGCAAGACTGATGCAAGACTGTCCAACATATAATCACTCAAAAGATGATAGAAAGCAAATTCGCAAGGAACATATTATGTAGATGGTTTAATTCAGTAAATCAGACAAAATAGAAGAAAATCAGAAACTACTTTTCATTAGCTTACACCCAAAATAATAAGCATGTAGATACATATCAATATAGCAAACAAGACAATAGGACCAACGAGAAAGATGACAATGTACTTACACTGCCCAGATTAAAAGTCTATAGCCAAAACCCATAAACATATTACAAGCCAAAACAAACGAACAAACAAACAAAAACAACGGAAAAAATGAAAGATCGGAACAAATATACAATCTATACAAAAATTTAGGTCGGTAACTCTAATGAAGGCAACAAGCAGGAATATAAACAACCAATCACAGGTATCTGCCATTTTAAACTCGTCGAGATACTCACGAGGTGGCTGGAGAGGATGACCCTAGCTCCATAGCCGATCAAGTACTTGATAGTTGGGACGGCGGCCCTAATCCTGGTATCATCGGTGATGTTGAAGTTATCGTCCAAGGGCACGTTCAGATCAACCCTCACGAAAACCCTTTTCCCCTTCAGATCGGCTTCCTTCAGTGACCCCACGCTCTTCTTGGTCGCCATTTCTTACTGCTCAAGCAAAAATTCCGATACAAAAACAACAGCCAAACCAAGAGATGAGAGTATTTCAACAAACCTGCGCGTAGAAAACACGAGGATCTGAAAGCAAACATAACGGAGTCTATTGCTTACCTCGATCGGAAATTGATTTTCTCTGTCGAGACGGGAAAAAAAAATGTGGCGCACAGATCACAGTGACAGAGGATAAGTGGAAAGGTCGAGAAATTATATAGCGTGTTCGAGAATCAATTAGGTACCTATAGACGATTCTACAATTTCGTTACGGGACCATTCTGTTAATTACTTGATGATCTAATGATTACAAATCTCCACAGAAAGGTTTAGTAACCAAGCTGTATCATTTCCCATTTATTTAATTCTCAAGTACAATATTTTAATCATTTCACTAAACATCTCTTTATTTAAATATTAGTACGTTTATATGCAAGTATACAAATAAAATTTATTTGTTATATGTGTGTATATGATAGTTAAAATAATAAGTTAACTACCATATCACATTTCAAAGATTTTAACATTAGTAAAAGTTAGTGGTAAATATAAATTATTTAACTTACATATTAATTTTTATATTGATCGCAATAATATAACTTTTGCCATCTTAGTTGATTATGGTTAACTAGTTAGATGAAATAATATTAAATTATTATTATAGCAGTTGTGTACGAAATTTTAAATAGTTTTATTATGCCATAAAAAATAATTAACTAACTTTAATAAGAAGCTCGTTTAATGAACTAAAAAATAAAATTTTAAATGTGTAGAAACAAATTTTATTAAGAAACTCGTTTAATGAACTAAAAATAATAATATTTAAATGATTAGTTAAACAAAAATTAAAATAAAATGTGTTAAAGTGACTTTATGATTGGTTAGTAGTGACTATTATTAAATAAATAAATAAAATATAATTAGTTTATCAATTCAAAATATAACAAAAAGGAGAAAAAAATGAAAAAAAAAGAACAAAACAAATTATTCGTAATTTATTTTGTCAACAATTACATATATTTTCAAAATAAAAAAAATAAAAAATAAAATCTACAAATAAAAAGATAAAATAATTTTTTTTAAAAAAGTTACGACCGAATTGGTTGACATAAATTTTGGGCTATAAAAGTATGGGGTCAAATAATTACTTAATATTGATTTATTTTAGCAAATTAAGAAATGACATTAAAAAAAAAAAGAGCAA